GCCCCTGCCCGGGCCTAACCCCTCTGCCCTGCCCCCCGGCTCTTAGCTCCCCCCTGGGTTTCCGATCACTGTCAGTGCCAGGGGGTTTCTTCCGAGCTTTCCCTTTTGCCTCCCTGCATTGTGCCTACATATGCAAATTAACCGCCATCTTTTTTGGCAGTTAACCGCCATCTTGGCTGGTGATTAATTTGCATATCTTGCTAATTAGCCAATGAAAAGGGTAGCGGTCGTACGCCAATTACCATGTTTCTCTTTTATTAGTGTAGATATATAAAAGCCTAAGTGACCGAAAGACTGGTCAACCGATCGCTATGATGCACACTGACCACCAGGGGGGAGACGCTGAATGCAGGAGCTGCCCCCTGGTGGTCAGTGTGCTCTCGGCCCCTCCCCCCAGCCAACTTCCTGCGGCCCCAATCGGCCCTAATCGCCAGCCAGGCCGAGGGACCCCATACTGCACGAATTCGTGCACTGGGCCTCTACTATAGGATAATTGGGGAGGGCCACACTGAATCAGTTGGAAGGCCTTAAAACCATAGCCAAGGGTTCCCTGACCGAATAAATTCTATCTGTGGGAGATAGCTTTGGCCCATGCCTGTGGAGTTTGAGCCTGCTGGTGAGCTTCCCTTTCTGGTTTCATGCCCTCTGGTTTTTGGACTGCTTAGCCATTTTCCACAATGATGTAGGCCAATTCCTTGAAATCTCAATCTCTCTCTTAAACTCTTTCTTAATATCTCTCTGTCTCTGTCTCTATCTATCTCACTTATTGGTCTGCTTTTCTGGTTGAACCTAGACCAACACAATCTCATTATTTTAATTATATAATTATTATACCAATACATTTTCAAAGAATGTGTGCCTCTGCTTTATAATTAGACAAATGGACATTTTATCAATTATAGAAGTTAGTATATATTATTGTATGTGAGTATATAAAGTAAAGTGTATACACAAGTTTGAATTGGGGTGAATGTGATATCAGGTATAAACCTGAGTAGGGATTTTAACAACTCATGGCTTAAACTTCAGCTTTCAATTAAACTGGCCTAGTTCTAGAAAAAAACTGAAGAGGAGTTCTAAACAGTCTGTCAACATATACTTTGTTTTCTTTGTGAACAGAGCACTCACTAGGCATTGGGGCGTATCACAAGGAAAAAGAGGACATGGTTTTATGCAAAAGTTGCTTACTGTCCTGAGGCAAGGCAAAGGGCTGAGAAAGTATATAGAGGAGGTGGTGACATGTCATATTTATCATATGCCAGACATTACATATATGCTGCTCATTTAGCCTCCTAATATGATGAAGTAAACATTATTATTTCTATTTCCAGATAGGAAAAATGAGACATAGAGTTGTCCAAGGTCACATAGCTGATAGGTGACAGAATCAGAATTTGAACACAAGCTTATCTAACTGTAAAGCCCCCAACTTTTTCTTCTGCACTATAGATTTATAGAAGAAAATGATTCCTTAAAAGCACAGTGAATCATGTACTGAACACTTACCATGTATTAGAAAATTATATTAAGGTCTATGTTAGACCATTATATTTTTACATTTGCTATGTGTTAGACCACTAAATTAAGCACATTCATTCCTTCATTCATTCTTCAATCCTCACTGGAGTTCATGTTCACTAATTACAGAGAGAGGGGGAAGGAAAGAGGGAGAAAGAGAAACATCAATGTGAGAGAGAAACATTGATTCATTGTCTCCTGTATGCACCCTGACTGGGGATCAAACCCACAACCTAGTCATGTGCCTGACTGATAATCAAACCCACAACCAACTGAGCCATCTGGCCAGGGCTATTTAATTTTTTTTACTGACTTTTTACAGCCCTTCAAGGTAAGTACTATCATTAATTCCCATTTCATAGATGAGGGAACTAAGGCGGGAAATTGATACAGTAATAGGGTATTAGTCAAAGCTTAAGAATCACCTGAATTCAGCACCCTGCTATCTGGAGTAGTTTGTAGACAATCTACCCTCTTCTGAAGGGATGTTTAAGTAAATATACAAATAGAATAGATGCTAATTTAATAGTCAGCATGAACATAATAAAGAATGTTTGATAGAAATTATTATTGGAAGGATAGAAGATCTGATTTCAGAAAAGCATTAGAAAACAAAAACCCAAAGCTTCCTCAATGAAAATCAGTAAGTGAGGAAATGGGATGCTTTCATATATACTTTGGCTTACAAAATCAATATATAAATTAGAGCAAATGTAGTTAATGAAACAATTTTACAATTGTCTCTTCTATCCACCACACACAAACCCTGCCAAGTTCAAGTGGTTAGAATGAATAAGGAGATTATCAGTCTTGAATCAATATATAAGAAAAAGTTTAAGCCCTTTAAAGTACATAACATCCTTTTTAGCATTCACCTGACAGAATCTACTCCCAAATTTACTGGATTTTGGCTAACCTACTATTTAAATGTAATAAAAAATATGTTTAAGCTGTATGCTTCAATTAATTCAAAATTGCTATCAAAGTAACAAATCAAAACACTATATATATTCATTTATGTATTTATATTTAAATCACCCCTTTTTAAAAAAAGGTAGAAGTTTTAAAAATGATAGAAGTTCAATGAGTGAATTGCAATTCCTTAGAGAGGCGAGCAGTTATAACTCTTTCATTTATACTTGACATTTTCCATTACCCTTTCTTAGAATTCGCAGTAAACAATTACTTGCACTCACTTTATGATTTAGGTAAGGCTCAACAGCCACTTCCTCTAAATAAGGAAACCAAGGTTAAGAGAGGTTAAATGCTTCAGAGCAGATCAGAGGTGGAACTAGCTATACAACTGTGGGGTTCTCAGGAAATGATTTACTCTTTCCTTCAAGCAGGTGTAAACATACGAAGACACATGATATTATAGACATTCCAAGTAGCTTTTTTTACATTTCAACCAGTTTCTTTTACACAAAGGCATCTAAAAAGTATAGTATAAACATAAATAAATGTATAAAAGAACGGTATGAAAAGATGTTATAAGTAAATATAAGAATTATTAATACTATCAGCAGCACTTTATTTTTTACTTTATTAAGTAAAAATTATATAATTGCCATTTAGTTGTCATTTGGAAAACTCTTAATTTGAGGAATGAATAATAAAATGTAAGGTGTTAATAGAGAAATTAATTATAGATACATTAATGATATTCACACTTGTGATTAACTTGTTAATCACTAATTACTCAAGGGGTGGCAAGCTAAGGGCAGCTGATTTTAACAAAAGGTCTTTCAACAGAGGTTGTGCACAACATCCTTAAGTTTCATGTCAGAATAGGGAGAAAACATTTTTTGGAAAAATTTATGGGTAAGTGTGTAAAAACTAAATGTTCATCTAATGAATTAATTCTTTAGGAGAATATTGAACAAACTATTTACAACCCATTGTTTGCATTTATTTTTCTAAATTTGTGATTATAAGATTTAAAAAATAAATTCTACTAGGATGTTTATTCTCAATGTCTTCTTATACTTCTTTTCTAACCTATATCTTTAATCTTCTTTATGTGCCACTATAATCAGATGTTGTGAAAACTATTATACTGTCACAAGAAATGGATTTCGTGATTTCTGGTGGGAAATAAACCAGTCAGACAAATGAACCATTACAAGAAAAAAAATCATATTTTTTATGAAAAGTGATGGATCTAGATATTAATGACCATCACCCCTGAACTCACTGCTGGATGCTGAAGAAAAAGGATCTAAACCCTTAATTCTCTATTTAAATGGAATGGCTTCTTTTAGAGACCAAACCTCCTTTTTTTCATATTATAAATCATATGTTTATAGTACAGCCATAGGAGAGCTGTTGTCAGATGGAGAAGCTGCTTAGAGTATATTTCCTCCATCCCTTGCTACTTGTTTTAATAAATACTTCAAAATACTCCAGAAAGTGAGAACCATTTCTTTTTTAACAGGGAAGGCTAGAGAATAACTTAAAGATTTTACTCTTTAAAGGTTCATATCAGCTGTATGATCGGGATCAAACAGAAGATGAACAAGTCTACTAACTCCCAAGTATGCGATTATCACAAAACAGACAAATATGCCCATGAAAAGTGCAAAACCTCAGGCCAGGATTTATCCTCAGGAAAGAGACCTTTCTTCCTCCTCTTTCATTAAAGGTCCACCACTTTCTACCTAATTAATGCTTCAACTTGGCTACATGAAGTGTATGGAATATTGTAGGAAATTAAACAGCATTTGTACAAAGGGCTAATTTCTGTGGGTAAATATGTCTTAAGCTCTAAATAATTAAATTACAAATAAACTTTGGGCATATTGCTCATTTTGTTCACACTGGATGGACTGGCAAAGGACTGATGAAGTGCCAAAAAGATGATCATATTAATAGGTATTAAGTTGTATATGCCTGAAATGGAGAGGCAAGTGATAGGTGATCTATAACATTCTGATATAGATTCTTCCTCATTGGATTGCTGTTTGAGTTTCATCCTAAATACTGTAATGTATTTAACCAATAGGGACTACAGTGGAATGAATAAACTACCAAAACCAGTGTTTGATGAAAATAATAAGTAAAACAGCAATAATAATACTTTCACATTATATACATTTCTTCAAGGTGTCCCTCTATAAATCTGCCGTTAATACTACAAATAAATATATCAATTTCTTGGATACTTTGTTCTTAGGTGTGCAAAGTGGTCTATAAAGTCTAAAAGTTCTATAACACAATCTGATTTTTTAAATAACAGCTTTATTGAGATTGAATTCACACACCATACAGTGCACACATTTAAAGTGCACATGTCAGTGGTTTTTAGTACCGTATATTCAAAGATGTGCAATCATCACCATCATCAATATCATAATACTTTCCTAACCACCCAAAGAAACCTTGTACCCATCAGTACGCCTCGCAAAAAAAACAACAACACATTTCAGCCTTAGGCAACTACCACTGTAACTTCTGTCTCTGTGTATTAATTATTCTGGACTTTTCACATAAATGGTATTAGACAATATGTCACCCTTTGTAAATGGCTTCATTTGTTTATCATAATGTTTTCGAGGTTTATCCATCTGTAACATGTGTCAGTAGTCCATCCTCTTTATTGCTGAATAATACTCATTGTTTTGATATAATAAGCTTTATTTATCCATTTATCAGTTGATAGACATTTTAGTTGTTTCTACATTTTCGCTACTATAAATAATGCTGTTATTAACATTCATATACAAATTTTTGTATAGACACAGGCTTTCATTTCTTATATATATATATACCCAGGAGTGAAACTGCTGGGTCATACGGTAATTGTGCTCAGCCTTTTGAGTAGCTGCTAACATTCCCATCAGCATGCATGCGGGTTTTACTTTATCCACATCCTTGTCAATACTTGTTATCTCTCTTTTGATTATAGCCATCCTAGTGAGTGTGAAGTTGAATTTCATTGTGGTTTTGATTTGCATTTCTCTGATGGCTAATGATGTTGAGCATTTTTTCAAGTGCTTATTAACACCTTTGTTTTGTGTATATGTGTATGTAAGCATTTTCAGAAAGTGGATATAAGGTCATGAGTTTTAAAGCTATAAGATTAACTGTGATGAAATTACTGTTAACTTGTTAACTTTGACATCTTAGCTGAGGAAAACCTCACAATGCTAAGCACTTATCACTCTAATTTATATTGGAATAGATCTTATTCTTCCTAGAAGATTGGCATTTCAATAAAGACAGCACCCATGTTTTCTTTAGATTTGTACCTGTCACATTAATTAATAGGCTACACACATTAGACACGCTAAATGAATGATAGTTAAATTAATAAATTTAACATCTGATATCATATTACCTTCACACATCTCCCTCTCAGATAGATTGGACAGATTGTATTCAACCTTCTTTTGAAAAATGATGATCATATACAACTATGCTTTGAATTAGTAAAACCATTACAAAACTCCAGGTTTCCTTAATTCTAAATTTAGTAATCAGTATGCCTTTGCTTAGGCCAGATATTTTTAAAGTTCGGATGATCTAAGTTTTAAAATATTCCTATCTATAATAATGCAATGTCTTTGCTTTGGTATATGAACATGAATAGGTAGTTCAATTATGTTAAACAAAGTGAACATGAAACTAGATATCCTATCATTAGGATATGGTAAAGCTTAATTAATTTTCTCATTAATTGTGAAGTATGTGGTTAATGGAGTTTTTATTTCTCTTAAATATAAGAGACAAACTGGAGAATGAATGTTTACTGGATGAACCCATAATGAGGGCCTGAGTTCCAGTCCCAAATCTATCACTTGAGTTAGGTGACATTTAGCAAATTATTTAACGTCTTTGAGCTTTAGTTTCCGCATTTTTCTTTTAAAAAAAAAATATTTTATTGCTTTTTTAAAGAGAGGAAGGGAGAGGGATAGAGTTAGAAACATCAATGAGAGAGAAGGATCGATCAGCTGCCTCCTGCACACCCCCCACTGGGGATGATGTGCCCGCCAAGGTACATGCCCCTGACCAGAATCGAACCTGGGACCCTTCAGTCCCCAGGCCGACGCTCTATCCAGGGAGACAAACCGGCTAGGGCAGTTTCCGCATTTTTCAACATGATTGGATAACAAAATTTAACTCAAAGGCATATTGATGGGAATAAATATGCAATGTATTCGCATGCATTAAAATTTTATTACTTAAGGAAACATTGTTAACACATTGCGGACCAGTAGTTTTATTGCTAGCTTTACCCAGTGGCCAGATAAGTGACTGGCCACAAGCCTTAGAACAGAAAATACGAGAATTCTCGTGATCCGCCCACAATGTGTATGTCCAATGTGCATCAATTTTCAAATAAAAAAATTCTTTAACCTATACCAAGCTACTAGGATTAATCTCAATGTCTTAGCTTGGTGGGGAACTAGGTGACAGAGATGGGAAAAAGATGATGTGTATCTTTTGAATTACATATTATCTATATATATATATATAAAACCCTAATATGCAAATAGACTGAACGGCGGAACAACCGAACAACCGGTCACTATGACGTGCGCTGACCACCAGGGGGTGTGCGCGGAACATGGCAGGCATCAGCAGCAGGCGGCAGAGCGTGGAACATGGCAGGCTAGGCAGCGGTGGGATGGTGGAGCAGGTGAGTGGAGGCGCCAGAAGCTGTCATTGGGGCGAGCCTCTGGTGGTTACTGAAAATTCTTTGCTCCCACATGCCACAGTCCCACCTGATGCTCGCACCTGCTGCCAGTGCCAGCCCTACTTGCACCCGCTGCCAGTGCCGGAGCTGCTGCTCACACCCACTGCCAGCACCCGGTACTGGTCCCAATCGCTCGGTGCTGTGGGTGTGAGCGGCGGCTGCTGGCCCTGGTCGCCCCTGAGGGCTTCTCCACCTCACCGTGCTCCTGAGGGGCAATCGGGGCAGCAGCCACCACTCGCACCCGCTGCTGGCACCGGCCCCAATCGCTCCGCGCTGTCAGCGCGTGGGAGCAGTAGTGGCAGGAGCGATGCTGCCAGCAGACAGGGGACCGGGGGCTGCGGTGGGAGGGGCCAGGTGGGGGCACGGAGGATAGGCCGAGACCCACCCCTGTGCCAACTGCAGCCTCGTGGCCCACAGTTATTTTCAAGGTGCACGAATTCATGCACTGGGCCCCTAGTTTGTACATATTATTATATTCAAAATAAGTCTACAAAAAAGCCCAAATAACTTTGATATTTGACTATTAAAAGAAATATATGTTATGATAAAATTATTTTTATATTATAAGTGGACAGAAGAGTTAATATGATCTAATAACATAAAAGTATTAATACCAAATATATATGCTTACATGAAAGCAAATGTGTTATTTCAATTTTGGACATTAATTGGAAATTAAACATAAAATGGTTTAACATTAGTGATTTAATTTTATGTGATGACCCTATTATGTTTATTTGACTCAGTGTCTATTACACATTTTATAAATATGAAACCGTTATTT